CGTCACAAGCGTTGAGAGAAGGACGGAGCTCGACAGTAGAACTATCACCAGGCAGCTGAATACGAACACAACTACCACGTATTTCAGCGGCAATTTCGAATCGCTACTCGCACCCGTGTACATGGCTAGGATGCTTGGTGAAATTGTGTATGTTCCATTGGCACCGAAGATTTTGTTGTTTGTGTAGCTCTCTGCTTGCGTTTATCTTGTTCTACCGTTGTTTTTCGTCTACCCCGGATTCTTTACCAAAGCAGCATTTGTTTTGAATATTCGATGGTCGCTACGAAGATATCAATAAATGATGACGATAACAAAACAAAAAGAAATCAGGAAAGCCCCTTCTACCTTGTTGTCGTTCAATTTCAAGTATATTTTTTAAAATTCCCGTAAATAAACAAGTTGATTTCCATCAGGTGCGCAAGTTTTTTTCCAAAAGGATTTTTAATAATCTATAATCAATATCCTCATTACTTTTAAGCCCGATTCATTTAGCTTATGTGGACTTAGTCTTAGCTCGTGCAAAACTAGGCTTGGCTTATGTAGAACTAAGCCTGACTCCTGTAGAACTGTGCTTGGGTGCGATTTTAGGTTTTATAAATCCACTGCCAGTCTCCAGAAGTGCTCTACACACCATTACGAACTGCATGGCCATATACTTGAGCCAGTTTCATCCGTAAGTTACCTCGGTGTTACCATTCAAAGAGAGGTCCGCTGGGGCGAGCACATTTAACAATGTGTGCAACCAGGCAAAACAAGACCCTGAGTTCTTAATGCGAAATCTGAAGATCGGAAACTCCGGTGTGAAAGAAAGAGCCCAACAAAGCCTCTGTACGGCCACTTTTAGATTACGCATCTTCAGTCTGGGACCCATTCACCCAGAGGAGCATCGACAGGCTGGAGGCGGTCCAGCGACGGGCAGCACGCTCTGTCCTGAACCGCTACAGGAATACCTCTAGTGTTGCCAGCATGCTGGTCACCATTGGAGGAAAGAGGACGATTATCCAGGCTCTCCGTGATGTCCAAGATAAATAATGGACTGGTCCACTGCTCCAGCATTAAACAGACACTCGTCTCCCCCCTCCCCCAAGATCGCGACGAGGCCATGACAGGCGGTGCCGGCTCATAACAGCAAGAACAATGCACATGAGCTGCTCATTCCTGCCAAAGACAATCAACGACAGAATCCATGCTTTCGATACGTGTCATATAATTATTTTGTAATTTGTGGGGGCCCAAAGTTTGGATTTCCTCTGGTCCAAAAATCCCTTTGCACGGCGCCCCTGTTTCAAGTTATCAGTTACGTTGGTGATCCCAGTAGACTGGGAGTACGGGCCCATTAAGCCGTCATTGTATTAAATACATGTTTAAAAACATTTCGATTGACACCGTTTTATCAAACTGGACAGCGTATGAGTATGACACTCGCACTGATTTCAATTTATATACTGACTGAACCAGAGGCATAGCTAGAGTGTTTGGCGCCGGGGGG